TTTGCCAGGACATGTTACACACCAAAATACAATCGCTTACATCCAGACAAGTTTCTCAATCTTTGATCCATAGTTTGACGGGAGAGTTGCCAAGTGTCATGTGATGTGCACTCAAATTAATACCACATCACAAATGCGTTCAAAATCCTGTAATCCATAGTTTGATGCGAGAGTTGCAGGTGTCATGTAAAGTGCCCCCGAGTTCAGGTCTATTTTGCCATATACCAAGACAGGTTAAGGTTAAATACTAACATTACAATGGTTAGATCCCAACACATGGACTTTGAAACCATCAAAGGCGCCTAAACCTTTATGAGCTATTCTCTCTCGTCAATCCATAGTTTGACGAAATGTGGTTCCAAAGCGACTGTGAGAAATGTATTTGCAGAGAAGACATGAAAGTCAACTGCACGAAGATTTGTACCCTGGACTGCGAAGAGGTAAGATACGATTTAAATAGAGTACAATTTAAGTACATACAATTTAAGTAGGGTATTTCATAGCCATTTCTAAAAGGCGTTGGTGATGTATGAAACTCAGTTCATCGTTGCCAACACTTCAAAGAAATTAATATGTGAAAGAAAACATTTGCATTCATTAAGGTCTTTACAATGGCGATATATTTTTATATTCTGTGAATTTTATGCGTGGAGTATTTTTCTTTGTTGAAGGATGAAGTCCTGATCGAGCCAGACGGAAGCATGTGTTGCTACTGTGAGCAAAGTAAGCGATTAACTGCAGAAATAAAGCTTAATTCTCCTGTAATTTGCAGAGTAAAGAAGGCAAAAGATACATTTTAGTACTATTCTCATTAAAGGCACGTAGAGACATCTGCATTTACCCGGAAACTTATCGTACGATTAAGGACAAACCTTGCTCAAAGTGAAGTAAGGATTGGTACTATGTGAAATTATTCAACTGAAATGGTACTAGTTTTACCAAACCTATTCTGTTTTCAACAAAATGTATATTATCCACTCAGCTGAAACTTTAACAAGTTAGTTGTTATGCACCCTTTTTAATTTTCTGAGCAGTTTTGCTGCTTCAGACGTAAATAGAATAAAAATACGAAATGTTCATATGGGCTTTAAATTAAATACCTCATGTAAGCACACCCTGTAATTTGTAAATTTAATAAACATACGTCATACATCTTTCAGCAGTTGTTTATTTTTGTTGATGATGTAAAATTTTCCCCAAACAATGATTATAAAACACATGAGTTTTCGTCTGTTTTATGTTGCAGTTCCAACAACTGCTGTATTCACAACGACTGTGATCCTTCCAAGCACCAGTACTGCTTCACCAAGCGAGTGCTATGGTTGCTTTGACGAGATATCTGAGACGTGTCACGAGGTTCTTTAGTTTCCAGTTTTTCCCAGTTGTTTCCTAACCACTGCAATCTTTCCCTTTATATACTTAAGAATCTGCACATTCAATCGAACTATCTTGACGCAGACTTATGTTGGGCATGTTCCCAGAGCCAACCACATGACCTTTGTAATAGTAATCATAATGATAATAGTGGGCATTTATATAGCGCACGTATCTACCAGGACAGTGCCTCATGGCACTACATCATTATTACCCCTGCTCAATGGGCCATGAAACATTCCAAATACCATCTGAGCTCCCTGGGGAGTATACAGCTCGATGCAGCCTGTTAGGCGCAAGGAAACTAATTCAATCACTGTAACTATCTCTGCCCTCACAGGTACCCATTTACTCCTGGGTGGAGAGAAGCAATGAGTGACAAAGTGCCTTTCCCAAGGGCACACGCACCATGACCCCAGGCCGGACTCGAACCCACAACCTGCAGCCTTACCCGCAGACCACGAATCCAATGCCTTAATCACGAGGCCACATCATTGCACACTCCATTTGTGTGTAATATTCAAACGTTTCCGTAGATTTGTGTTAACATCTGTATTAATTTTATTTTCTAATAGCCTGAAACATCTTGGCGGGATGACCCCTGCACCACCTGTGAATGCCAGTACAAGAATGAGTTTGCATTGACTTGCAAGGAAACCCAGTGTGGTGAAGACCTAGAATGTAAAGAGGTAAGTTTTCACGTTTGCAAAAATTGTCAAACATATCGGACTTATCATTCCTGTCACTATGCAGAACGATCTTTCATACTAACACAAAATGAGTGTTTCATTACCTGCTCTATAGTTTGTTTAGGACATAATCGAGATCGCCGGAAAAAAAAAAAACCAGCTAAAAGACATTTTATATCAGGTGAAGCACAACGGCAACCAAATTAGAGCTTTTTAAAGCTCTAAAGTCCCATGCAATGAGCCCAGTTAGGCCTAACCTTTTAGGGTGTTTTCAATTTTTGTTGCCATTTTCGAGGGCATGTTGGTGACTTTCTGGTTTTTATGCTAAATCATTAGCCAAAGTGTCATGTTATTTCAGGCAGAAACCTCAACGTTACAATTATTTCAGCAACAAAAGTTGACATTCTGCTTTCTGTGGTGATTCGTTGTTGTGATGCAGTAAGCCAGTGCATGACAATATAAGCCAAGGAGCAAATTTCTGCGTTCACAATGAAAATGACAAAAGGATGTCAAATAGTTTTTATACATTTTAAGAGGAGTTGAAAGTTGCACAAAATGTGTTCTTCAGACAAAAACAATTTCAAGGACGCTTTAACTGCTTCTTTCTTTTTTTTTGTGTTGGTGGGGTATGCTTGTAATTTGTTTCTCTCTCTCGGGCCATGACATTGCATTTTTCTGATTTGTTACTTCCAAGGGGCATGTCTTAATCAAAGACGATGGCGATTGTTGCTACCACTGCGTTCCCGACATTTGCGTTGGTGATTTCAACTGCAACTCCACCTACTGCATCCGAATACGTGGCACTGCGATGGGTCAATGGATTGTGCTAATGGATATGACGAAGAAGATTGTCGTAAGTTTATCATTACAATTTATATCGACCACGTTACAAGAATAAACTTCCAAACATGTAGACTTAATTACTTACAATCATTTCAAATGTGTTCCCAAATTAAACACATGATTGAACATAACTTTAATCCCAACATTTTACGGCTAAACTGATTTGATGAGTACATTTTAAGGTTTAACGAAGGGTCTATGTGGACTTCTGATTTACTACAACAATTTGTAACACACTGACATCTATTGGTGTTCAATTATCAATTACAGCTTTGCCCACGACGCCACCTCCACCTCCTCCATGTAAGTATCTTCTCAGGAATGTTTGTCGAAAACCGGTAATACTCATAGCGAAAGCTCACGCACATTTTTTGACGCCACCTCAATTATTCCCAATATGAATATGCAACGGTTTAGGGCATGATATACTCTTCTCTCCTGATGAATTTTACCAGTTTAGTCTCATTTGCTTCTCACTTAAATTTGCATGGAGTATGAACAGATGTCGTGTGAAATGTAGACGTCTACAAAATTTGGTCTTTTTTTACTTTAAATGGACTCACACGTGACCTGCCACAGCTCTTATTATGTGCACTTAAGCATGATATACAAACAATAAGTCATAAATATTTAAAACTATATATCCCTCTTTTAATTACCAAATCTGGTGCTAGGGTCAACCGAATCAATTTAACAGGTACAATTCCTTCATATAGTGCACAAACTAAACAGTTACAAAATTATCTGTTCATTTTCTAGCTTGTGCTACGTCAGAGGAAGCGACAGTGTGCAAAGACTGTCGGGAAAGAGCATGTCAGACTTCGCATGCTACGAGATGCCACAAGAACTGTGTTGTGAATGCAAACAGGGCACAGTGTACAATGGCACGAAATGCGTTAAACCAAAAGAGTGTCGCTGCCTTGACGACAATGGCAACATTCGCTTGGTAAGAAAACTGGTGGTTGCTTTTCTTCTATCTTAGCTCTCGTACGTCTTTTCCAGATTGGTCACATTCAGCAGGCCCCAACTTTATGAAGCTGCAACGAAATGACTTAAGAAAATACAGATGCATATCTCATTGCGTAGAAAGGGCAATTGACATTTCGGGGCTAAACAGAGAATTTAGTAATGTTAAGATTAGTGGTTTCGGGCAGCTCAACCGGATCAACTCGGGTAAAGGCAAACGGATTAGCCACGACAGCCGGGCTAATCGAACGATCAACCACGGGCCATCACGATCCTTACGTGATGCCCGTAGCCGCGGCCATAGCCATGACAAAACGCCCGTTTTCGTGCTGGGTCTTTGTTTGAGATTGAATGCTTTCAATCAATTGCATAACTGAAATTAAGTTGGGCTGGAAATATAGCCTCTAATGTCGCAATGGATTTAATGATCAATTACTTTCAACTTCAAATAGGTTGATTTATGGGTCCACTTGACATTTCCGTTGTCTCGCTGCGATATTTCTCTGATTTTAGAGATAAACAACGTATTTCCACCAGTGACTCTGCTCATGAGCAGGGTTTGTGGTGCCTGACCTGGGCCCAATTTCATAGAGCTGCTTAAGCAGAAAATTTGCTTAAGCACGAAAAAACATTGCTTAGCAAAATTAGGTTACCGGCCAAAACTCCATGTGATGTACATTGCTTGTGACTGGTATTAAGCTGTTGTTTACTTAGCATTACAATCGCATGGAGTTTTGACCGGTAACCTGATTTATTAAGCAAAACGTTTTTGTGCTTAAGCAAATTTTGTGCTTAAGCAAATTTTGTGCTTAAGAAGCTCTATGAAATTGGCCCCTGGGTGAGCCCCGAGAATGACGTCAAAGCTAACTGAACGGCACGGGGCTGACTCGTGTCGACCTGGGTGGGCTAAACGACTGCATCCTATGTGCCACATGGCGGCCATCTTAGATTTCAAATGGCCTCCATGTGAGTGCTATAATATTGTGTTAATATACTTGGGCTATGGAAGTCGTCAGAAGTTCAATTTTGTGACAGACTCCATATTTTGATAGGAAAATATCTACATGAAACACTAATTTCCTAAATATACTGAATCTGTCTGTAAAGAACCTTTAGATATTATTTGAAAGAATGGCATTTATAAATTAATCGTTGTTTTTTTTTAGCCATTTGACACTTGGGAAACTGAAGAATGTGAAGAGTGCAAATGCCAGTTCAACAGAATTACATGCTACCAGCTGCTATCTGTCAAACAACGACACCCCAGCCAAGAACTGTGCCTCCTAAACCTCGTAAGTTGAAATTGGAAATAGATGCACACGCATCTACTGTAATTAGAACTACTATGCTTGTCGAAAGAGAAAAAAACAATTATACAATGTGTGTGGTGTGTCAATCGCAAGTCACAAGTCAGTTCACAATTCGTGTCAGGAATAAAAGGGATAAACAATACAGCTAATTGAAAACAGCCAATGACGACCTGTGACTGGATGAACATAATTAACATATGATGACTTTTGATGTCTTGCGACCAACACGATTGCAACTCTGCCAATTATAAGAAACACTTCAAAAAGAAATGCCTGTACTGTATATGACAAGTAGGTTACAGATCCGTGCCAGAAAAGTCGACATACCGCCCAAAGCTTAACTTTGATCCCTGAGTTAAAATTTTCCATTTGTGAACTGGATTCACTTGCCTCAAAATGTCTGCATGCTTGATCAAGACATTTTTGCATAAGTTAAGTAGACCTATTCAAGGTATAACAAAAAAAGGAAATGCCCTGCAATACCAAACGACTCATCAGGAAAATATTATTGTTTGTCGTACATTTTATACAATGTGTTGGATCGAGGCACATAGAAATAGACGGTTACCCATCATTTTGGATGCCTTTACCAGTTTATATTACCTACCATTTTTGGATGATACCAGCTTATTACCTTCCCACAAATACCAGATTACTGCGATGAGACGTGCCTTTGTCAGCTTGACTGTGACGATGAGTTCATAGATGAAAAGTGCTCGTTTGTTGTTCCAAACGAGTGCAACGACACGTGTATGTGCGGACCGGGGGACAGAGAAGGACAAGATAACAGGGAGATCGTGTGTGCTTCGACCACACCAGAGGAATGCGAGAAAAGTACTACTACAGTCGGTAAGGAATGTCCATCAAAGGTGTATCCAAAATAACCTACAGTGGCTTTGAACAGTCGTTGTCGTCATTGTTCTCTGCCCCACACTCCAACTGTATCTTGAATGATGAAGTTGACGGCATGCAAGACAGCACAGTAGTTAGGGCCCCGAAATGTGGTTGGGCGATTCACAATGCAGTGCGCCACAAAGAGTTTGCGTGGAGAGTCCGTTTTTAAGTTTAAGGTAGAAAAAACACTGCCCATTTGAATTAGTGTCGGTAGACAATTTCAGCTAGTTTGTTATAGATTGGAGCAAAGCATTCGCCGCCTTACAAAAACACCATATTGATAAGTAGAAAGAAAAAGGTTAAAAGATACTTGAATCATACGCTTACGAAACTACTGACCGGACAACTAACAATTTCAAATGTCCCGCACTGCTTGTCGACCATTTCCCACAATACATTCGGGGGAAAACTCTCCGTAGCAAACTCTTCGTGGCGCACTGGATTGTGAACCACCCGAATTGTGGAAGGCCGCTCGGCCATGGAGACTGCATACCTATTATTTGTAAGCAGGCGCTGATGCGGGTTTGCTTGCACGTTGCAGTGTCGCACAGCAAGGACATTTGATTCGGGTAGAGGAGAAAAGGGCACTCGATGGACATGTTTGGTGTCTTTCAGCAGACACCCGGCCTCCGTGAAATGAAAAAGAGTATACTTGGGCACTTCCACGCAAAGTGGACACGGCAGGAAAGAGGAAACCGTATGAAATCTTCCAAACTAGAAGCATCACAACATCAAACGTGGTGTCAAATTAAAGGGGATAACACGATCCTTCATTTGAGTGGTGTGCCACTGAGATGTAATGTAGTTAAGTGTGATTTGGGTAAAACAATGGGGTATTTTTGCTACAATCATGGATTTTTAGTAGTCATTTTGGCATTTTGTTTTACCATACAAAATGTGACTGTTATTGAGAGTTTTTGTTTTAAGGCAGAGAGAAAGGTTCATATTTTTTTGAAGAGTTTCATTATGTTGCAGTTCATCAATCTCAGTTTTGTGCCGTGTTAGAAACCATGAAGAGAAAGTAACGTGAGAGACGTACCGTGAGTGAAGGTACCTCCATGTAATCTAATGTCCCTTGCATCTAAAATAGGATTCAAATGGGATTTTAATTACAACTATGGGTTGAATGAAAGGTAACATATGTTACTTGTGCGTTGTAGACTACAGTTTGAGGAGATTGTAACAACCAAATTGCAGGACAATTTTCCATGTGCTTTTTTTTTGTAATGTGAGTGACGACCAACAAAACGCATGTTTTTAAAAACTTAATGAATGAATTGAATTTTTCTTTCCAGTTTTGAGTACCCCTTACTCAAGGCTGTTGTCTGGCTAGTTTGATTCAATTTCATCAAATACTTTAGAAGCAGTGAATCAAAGTAGCCCCATGGCATACAAATGTAAACGTGAGTGACGGTGGAATTGCCCACATGTACATGGTTTCCTTATGGGGGTAGGAAACACAATAAAACAATAGATCCCATAATCTAACTGGCCCATAACGGAACGCTATGAAATTTGATATTTCAATACAGAACAAACGAAAACAAAAGAAGATAAACAAAGGTCTTTATCCCACAAGAATTTCTTTACGCCCGGGTTTGTTTATGGTGTAAATCGGGGGCACACTTGTGGAGCTTCATTGCGTAATTGAGAACAGCAGTCAAATCGAGGACGACCTCGATTAGAAAACGTGTACAAAACCAATGAGAGCTGTTGCAAAAAAGGGAAGTGAAAACAAGGAACGAGGACGTGGAATAAAAGCAAATCCTATCAGAAACTTTCGGACATTTGGTGGCGATCTGCATGGCGACACAATTACATCTACACTTATTCTCGCGACGGAAACGAGGGCACTCGTAAACAAAAAGGGGCAATCAATTACAAAACACGGCGTTGCAATCACTGTCCTAATTTTGTTTCCATCAGGGTCCCATTTTGGCTTATAACATATCCATCCCGTTGCAATCTCACATTCTGCAACACCCCCATCACCACCACGGCTACGAAACTGATATTAAGTACATTTTAGTTTAGTTTGTTTTAAAAAAAGGGTAATTTATAAAAAAAAAATCAATTGTAGAAAAGAACCCAATGACTAAACTTGCATGCATCAGCGGCTGAACATGGGGTTGCAAGCCAGCATCCCCCCGCCTCCACCATCACCCCGGTCTACATCCGCCACTACACATTGGCATATTCCTACGAACCCAGCTGCACCATCAACGTCTGTCCGACTTTATTATTTGGTGATCCAGCCCACTTCCAAATCTGACAGCATTCTCACTTTCCGAATGTCATTCTTTCAAGGATACTGTATGAAACCATTGGACGGTGAGCAAGGACTTGAGAGCAGCCGTTTCTACAACTCCAGCATCTGAAGATCAGTCAACTGATATCAACGCTGATAAACCTTGGACATTCGAGCTACAGTCCAATCCAGAGGACTACCGCGACCAAAACCCCAAACTGGACGTCAAGTTTAACACGAAGTCCAAGTGCACGCCTTGAAGCTCCAGGGAGACAGCGACCAATCCCAAACGGTCCGAATAATTCCGTTGGTCCGGGATCGATCAACCCAAAATTTACACTGATGTGCTGGATTCCTCGGGCAAACCACTCGTAAGTTCTTCCATAAGCTTCATCAATCAAAAGACCATTATCATGTTGCACCCATTTCATTGCTTCCATAAAATCAATGTAACCAAAGCGGGGCTGGAAGGAAAAATAGTCTGGTTCCTTTTTGCACTAGGATCACCTAGAATTTAAAAATAATTGGGTATATACCTCTCGATTCATGTCCTAAATACCCAAATCTTGCAAACCTCTGTAACTAAATGAAATTTGTGTTTTCTTGCCCAGATTGTCGAGGCCACCCTGAATGGTAGAAGGCCTGTGACTGCAATCTTGCCTACTCCAGTGACTAGAATCGAAGAACTTCGACTGGAGATTTTGTCAATTGACACAGAGGACTCCGGAAGTTTGCGTGTTGATTTCCTGGGTTGCATGGAAGGTACGTCTTGATACTCAAGCTCAGATCGATTCTCCATCGGCATTTTTTTCTGTAACCGCAAAGGCGTCTCAATGAAATTTCTAGCTAGGATATTTAAAAGACAATTGAATAATATCATTTTCTAATCCGTTCCTCTTCTTGTCGTTTACAGAAATAACGACCACAACTCCGGCTACAACGACGACTAAAGGTAAACATCCTTCGTTTTCCGGCAAAACAAATATTGCACGAAAAGAGTAGTGCATGTCAAGATTTTTAGATGGCATTCTCTGTACAGATCAACAGTCACTGGAGCGAAATTGTACCCAGAAACACTCACAATGTTGTATTTTTCTCTCCTTAAACAGTTGTGACAACAACTACCCAGACCTCTACATCCACCACAGCAGGTATGCGTTGTTGTTGTTGTTGTTGTTGTTGGGTTGTTCTTTTTCGGGTGGGGGGTATTTGCATTTTCCGATACTTTTGGAGAGATGGCTTTTGCATTCTCTGTTCAAAGTACTGGATTGACCGCGGTTGATTTCCCAACTCCAACTGATTTCAATTCCAACAACATTCTGATATTCTGAATGTCTTTCTTTCAAGGATACTGTATGGAGCCAATGGACGGCGAGCAAGGACTTGAGAGTAGCCGTTCTACAACTCCAGCGTCTGAAGATCAGTCAACTGATATCAACGCTGATAAACCTTGGATATTCGAGCTACAGTCCAACCTGAGGACAACCGCGACCAAAACCCCAAACTGGACGTCAAGTTTAACACCGAAGTCCAAGTGCACGCTTGAAGCTCCAGGGAGACAGCGACCAATCCCAAACGGTCCGAATAATTCCGTTGGTCCGGGATCGATCAACCCAAATTTACACTGATGTGCTGGATTCCTCGGGCAAACCACTCGTAAGTTTTTCCATCAGCTTCATCAATCAAAAGACCATTATCATGTTGCACCCATTTCATTGCTTCCATTCAAATCAATGTAACCAAAGCGGGGCTGGAAGGAAAAATAGTCTGGTTCCTTTTTGCACTAGGATCACCTAGAATTTAAAAATAAATTGGGTATATACCTCTCGATTCATGTCCTAAATACCCAAATCTTGCAAACCTCTGTAACTAAATGAAATTTGTGTTTTCTTGCCCAGATTGTCGAGGCCACCCTGAATGGTAGAAGGCCTGTGACTGCAATCTTGCCTACTCCAGTGACTAGAATCGAAGAACTTCGACTGGAGATTTTGTCAATTGACAGAGAGGACTCCGGAAGTTTGCGTGTTGATTTCCTGGGTTGCATGGAAGGTACGTCTTGATACTCAAGCTCAGATCGATTCTCCATCGGCATTTTTTCTGTAACCGCAAAGGCGTCTCAATGAAATATTCTAGCTAGGATATTTAAAAGACAATTGAATAATATCATTTTCTAATCCGTTCCTCTTCTTGTCGTTTACAGAAATAACGACCACAACTCCGGCTGCAACGACGACTAAGGTAAACATCCTTCGTTTTCCGGCAAAACAAATATTGCACGAAAAAGAGTAGTGCATGTCAAGATTTTTAGATGGCATTCTCTGTACAGATCAACAGTCACTGGAGCGAAATTGTACCAGAAAACACTCACAATGTTGTATTTTTCTCTCCTTAAACAGTTGTGACAACACTACCCAGACCTCTACATCCACCACAGCAGGTATGCGTTGTTGTTGTTGTTGTTGTTGTTGGGTTGTTCTTTTTCGGGTGGGGGGTATTTGCATTTTCCCGATACTTTTGGAGAGATGGCTTTTGCATTCTCTGTTCAAAGTACTGGATTGACCGCGGTTGATTTCCCAACTCCAACTGATTTCAATTCCAACAACATTCTGATATTCTGAATGTCTTTCTTTCAAGGATACTGTATGGAGCCAATGGACGGCGAGCAAGGACTTGAGAGTAGCCGTTCTACAACTCCAGCGTCTGAAGATCAGTCAACTGATATCAACGCTGATAAACCTTGGATATTCGAGCTACAGTCCAATCCTGAGGACAACCGCGACCAAAACCCCAAACTGGACGTCAAGTTTAACACGAAGTCCAAGTGCACGCCTTGAAGCTCCAGGGAGACAGCGACCAATCCCAAACGGTCCGAATAATTCCGTTGGTCCGGGATCGATCAACCCCAAATTTACACTGATGTGCTGGATTCCTCGGGCAAACCACTCGTAAGTTTTTCCATCAGCTTCATCAATCAAAAGACCATTATCATGTTGCACCCATTTCATTGCTTCCATTCAAATCACTGTAACCAAAGCGGGGCTGGAAGGAAAAATAGTCTGGTTCCTTTTTGCACTAGGATCACTAGAATTTAAAAATGAATTGGGTATATACCTCTCGATTCATGTCCTAAATACCAAATCTTGCAAACCTCTGTAACTAAATGAAATTTGTGTTTTCTTGCCCAGATTGTCGAGGCCACCCTGAATGGTAGAAGGCCTGTGACTGCAATCTTGCCTACTCCAGTGACTAGAATCGAAGAACTTCGACTGGAGATTTTGTCAATTGACAGAGAGGACTCCGGAAGTTTGCGTGTTGATTTCCTGGGTTGCATGGAAGGTACGTCTTGATACTCAAGCTCAGATCGATTCTCCATCGGCATTTTTTCTGTAACCGCAAAGGCTCTCAATGAAATATTCTAGCTAGGATATTTAAAAGACAATTGAATAATATCATTTTCTAATCCGTTCCTCTTCTTGTCGTTTACAGAAATAACGACCACAACTCCGGCTGCAACGACGACTAAAAGGTAAACATCCTTCGTTTTCCGGCAAAACAAATATTGCACGAAAAAGAGTAGTGCATGTCAAGATTTTTAGATGGCATTCTCTGTACAGATCAACAGTCACTGGCGCGAAATTGTACCCAGAAAACACTCACAATGATGTATTTTCTCTCCTTAAACAGTTGTGACAACAACTACCCAGACCTCTACATCCACCACAGCAGGTATGCGTTGTTGTTGTTGTTGTTGTTGGTTGTTGTTGTTGTTGTTGTTGGTTTTTGGTTGTTCTTTTCGGTGGGGGGTATTTGCATTTTCCGATACTTTTGGAGAGATTGCTTTTGCATTCTCTGTTCAAAGTACTGGATTGACCGCGGTTGATTTCCCAACTCCAACTAATTTCAATTCCAACACATTCTGATATTCTGAATGTCTTTCTTTCAAGGATACTGTATGGAGCCAATGGACGGCGAGCAAGGACTTGAGAGTAGCCGTTCTACAACTCCGGCGTCCTGAAGATCAGTCAACTGATATCAACGCTGATAAACCTTGGATATTCGAGCTACAGTCCAATCCTGAGGACAACCGCGACCAAAACCCAAACTGGACGTCAAGTTTAACACCGAAGTCCAGTGCACGCCTTGAAGCTCCAGGGAGACAGCGACCAATCCCAAACGGTCCGAATAATTCCGTTGGTCCGGGATCGATCAACCCAAATTTACACTGATGTGCTGGATTCCTCGGGCAAACACTCGTAAGTTCTTCCATAAGCTTCATCAATCAAAAGACCATTATCATGTTGCACCCATTTCATTGCTTCCATTAAAATCAATGTAACCAAAGCGGGGCTGGAAGGAAAATAGTCTGGTTCCTTTTTGCACTAGGATCACCTAGAATTTAAAAATAAATTGGGTATATACCTCTCGATTCATGTCCTAAATACCCAAATCTTGCAAACCTCTGTAACTAAATGAAATTTGTGTTTTCTTGCCCAGATTGTCGAGGCCACCCTGAATGGTAGAAGGCCTGTGACTGCAATCTTGCCTACTCCAGTGACTAGAATCGAAGAACTTCGACTGGAGATTTTGTCAATTGACACAGAGGACTCCGGAAGTTTGCGTGTTGATTTCCTGGGTTGCATGGAAGGTACGTCTTGATACTCAAGCTCAGATCGATTCTCCATCGGCATTTTTTCTGTAACCGCAAAGGCTTCTCAATGAAATATTCTAGCTAGGATATTTAAAAGACAATTGAATAATATCATTTTCTAATCTGTTCCTCTTTCTTGTCGTTTACAGAAATAACGACCACAACTCCGGCTGCAACGACGACTAAAGGTAAACATCCTTCGTTTTCCGGCAAAACAAATATTGCACGAAAAAGAGTAGTGCATGTCAAGATTTTTAGATGGCATTCTCTGTACAGATCACAGTCACTGGCGCGAAATTGTACCCAGAAAACACTCACAATGTTGTATTTTTCTCTCCTTAAACAGTTGTGACAACAACTACCCAGACCTCTACATCCACCACAGCAGGTATGCGTTGTTGTTGTTGTTGTTGTTGTTGTTGGGTTGTTCTTTTCGGGTGGGGGGTATTTGCATTTTCCCGATACTTTTGAGAGATGGCTTTTGCATTCTCTGTTCAAAGTACTGATTGACCGCGGTTGATTTCCCAACTCCAACTAATTTCAATTCCAACAACATTCTGATATTCTGAATGTCTTTCTTTCAAGGATACTGTATGGAGCCAATGGACGGCGAGCAAGGACTTGAGAGTAGCCGTTCTACAACTCCAGCGTCTGAAGATCAGTCAACTGATATCAACGCTGATAAACCTTGGATATTCGAGCTACAGTCCAATCCTGAGGACAACCGCGACCAAAACCCCAAACTGGACGTCAAGTTTAACACCGAAGTCCAAGTGCACGCCTTGAAGCTCCAGGGAGACAGCGACCAATCCCAAACGGTCCGAATAATTCCGTTGGTCCGGGATCGATCAACCCAATTTTACACTGATGTGCTGGATCCTCGGGCAAACCACTCGTAAGTTTTTCCATAAGCTTCATCAATCAAAAGACCATTATCATGTTGCACCCATTTCATTGCTTCCATTAAAATCAATGTAACCAAAGCGGGGCTGGAAGGAAAAATAGTCTGTTCCTTTTTGCACTAGGATCACCTAGAATTAAAAATGAATTGGGTATATACCTCTCGATTCATGTCCTAAATACCCAAATCTTGCAAACCTCTGTAACTAAATGAAATTTGTGTTTTCTTGCCCAGATTGTCGAGGCCACCCTGAATGGTAGAAGGCCTGTGACTGCAATCTTGCCTACTCCAGTGACTAGAATCGAAGAACTTCGACTGGAGATTTGTCAATTGACAGAGAGGACTCCGGAAGTTTGCGTGTTGATTTCCTGGGTTGCATGGAAGGTACGTCTTGATACTCAAGCTCAGATCGATTCTCCATTGGCATTTTTTCTGTAACCGCAAAGGCTTTTAAATGAAATTTTCTAGCTAGGATATTTAAAAGACAATTGAATAATATCATTTTCTAATCCGTTCCTCTTCTTGTCTTTTACAGAAATAACGACCACAACTCCGGCTGCAACGACGACTAAAGGTAAACATCCTTCGTTTTCCGGCAAACAAATATTACACGAAAAAGAGTAGTGCATGTCAAGATTTTTAGATGGCATTCGCTGTACAGATCAACAGTCACTGGCGCGAAATTGTACCCTGAAAACACTCACAATGTTGTATTTTTCTCTCCTTAAACAGTTGTGACAACAACTACCCAGACCTCTACATCCACCACAGCAGGTATGCGTGTTGTTGTTGTTGTTGTTGTTGTTGTTGGGGGTTTTTTTTCGGGGGGGGGAATTTGCATTTTTCCGATACTTTTGGTGAGATGGCTTTTGCATTCTCTATTCAAAGTACTTGATTGACCGCGGTTTATTTCCCAACTCCAACTAATTTCAATTCCAGCAACATTCTGATATTCTAAATGTCTTTCTTTCAAGGATACTGTATGGAGCCAATGGACGGCGAGCAAGGACTTGAGAGTATCCGTTCTTCAACTCCAGCGTCTGAAGATCAGTCAACTGATATCAACGCTGATAAACCTTGGACATTCGAGCTACAGTCCAATCCTGAGGACAACCGCGACCAAAACCCCAAACTGGACGTCAAGTTTAACACCGAAGTCCAAGTGCACGCCTTGAAGCTCCAGGGAGACAGCGACCAATCCCAAACGGTCCGAATAATTCCGTTGGTCCGGGATCGATCAACCCAAATTTACACTGATGTGCTGGATTCCTCGGGCAAACCACTCGTAAGTTCTTCCATAAGCTTCATCAATCAAAAGACCATTATCATGTTGCACCCATTTCATTGCTTCCATTCAAATCAATGTAACCAAAGCGGGGCTGGAAGGAAAAATAGTCTGGTTCCTTTTTGCACTAGGATCACCTAGAATTTAAAAATAATTTGGTATATACCTCTCGATTCATGTCCTAAATACCCAAATCTTGCAAACCTCTGTAACTAAATGAAATTTGTGTTTTCTTGCCCAGATTGTCGAGGCCACCCTGAATGGTAGAAGGCCTGTGACTGCAATCTTGCCTACTCCAGTGACTAGAATCGAAGAACTTCGACTGGAGATTTTGTCAATTGACACAGAGGACTCCGGAAGTTTGCGTGTTGATTTCCTGGGTTGCATGGAAGGTACGTCTTGATACTCAAGCTCAGATCGATTCTCCATCGGCATTTTTCTGTAACCGCAAAGGCGTCTCAATGAAATATTCTAGCTAGGATATTTAAAAGACAATTGAAATAATATCATTTTCTAATCCGTTCCTCTTCTTGTCGTTTACAGAAATAACGACCACAACTCCGGCTGCAACGACGACTAAAGGTAAACATCCTTCGTTTTCCGGCAAAACAAATATTGCACGAAAAAGAGTAGTGCATGTCAAGATTTTAGATGGCATTCTCTGTACAGATCAACAGTCACTGGCGCGAAATTGTACCCAGAAAACACTCACAATGATGTATTTTTCTCTCCTTAAACAGTTGTGACAACAACTACCCAGACCTCTACATCCACCACAGCAGGTATGCGTTGTTGTTGTTGTTGTTGTTGTTGTTGTTGTTGTTGTTGTTGTTGTTGTTGTTGTTGGGGTTGTTCTTTTCGGTGGGGGGTATTTGCATTTTCCCGATACTTTTGGAGAGATGCTTTTGCATTCTCTGTTCAAAGTACTGATTGACCGCGGTTGATTTCCCAACTCCAACTAATTTCAATTCCAACAACATTCTGATATTCTGAATGTCTTTCTTTCAAGGATACTGTATGGAGCCAATGGACGGCGAGCAAGGACTTGAGAGTAGCCGTTCTACAACTCCGGCGTCTGAAGATCAGTCAACTGATATCAACGCTGATAAACCTTGGATATTCGAGCTACAGTCCAATCCTGAGGACAACCGCGACCAAAACCCCAACTGGACGTCAAGTTTAACACCGAAGTCCAAGTGCACGCCTTGAAGCTCCAGGGAGACAGCGACCAATCCCAAACGGTCCGAATAATTCCGTTGGTCCGGGATCGATCAACCCAAATTTACACTGATGTGCTGGATTCCTCGGGCAAACCACTCGTAAGTTCTTCCATAAGCTTCATCAATCAAAAGACCATTATCATGTTGCACCCATTTCATTGCTTCCATTAAAATCAATGTAACCAAAGCGGGGCTGGAAGGAAAAATAGTCTGGTTCCTTTTTGCACTAGGATCACCTAGAATTTAAAAATAAATTGGGTATATACCTCTCGATTCATGTCCTAAATACCCAAATCTTGCAAACCTCTGTAACTAAATGAAATTTGTGTTTTCTTGCCCAGATTGTCGAGGCCACCCTGAATGGTAGAAGGCCTGTGACTGCAATCTTGCCTACTCCAGTGACTAGAATCGAAGAACTTCGACTGGAGATTTTGTCAATTGACACAGAGGACTCCGGAAGTTTGCGTGTTGATTTCCTGGGTTGCATGGAAGGTACGTCTTGATACTCAAGCTCAGATCGATTCTCCATCGGCATTTTTCTGTAACCGCAAAGGCGTCTCAATGAAATATTCTAGCTAGGATATTTAAAAGACAATTGAATAATATCATTTTCTAATCCGTTCCTCTTCTTGTCGTTTACAGAAATAACGACCACAACTCCGGCTGCAACGACGACTAAAGGTAAACATCCTTCGTTTTCCGGCAAAACAAATATTGCACGAAAAAGAGTAGTGCATGTCAAGATTTTTAGATGGCATTCTCTGTACAGATCAACAGTCACTGGCGCGAAATTGTACCCAGAAAACACTCACAATGTTGTATTTTTCTCTCCTTAAACAGTTGTGACAACAACTACCCAGACCTCTACATCCACCACAGCAGGTATGCGTTGTTGTTGTGTTGTTGTTGTTGTTGTTGTTGGGTTGTTCTTTTTCGGGTGGGGGGTATTTGCATTTTCCCGATACTTTTGGAGAGATGGCTTTTGCATTCTCTGTTCAAAGTACTGGATTGACCGCGGTTGATTTCCCAACTCCAACTAATTTCAATTCCAACAACATTCTGATATTCTGAATGTCTTTCTTTCAAGGATACTGTATGGAGCCAATGGACGGCGAGCAAGGACTTGAGAGTAGCCGTTCTACAACTCCAGCGTCTGAAGATCAGTCAACTGATATCAACGCTGATAAACCTTGGATATTCGAGCTACAGTCCAATCCTGAGGACAACCGCGACCAAAACCCCAAACTGGACGTCAAGTTTAACACCGAAGTCCAAGTGCACGCCTTGAAGCTCCAGGGAGACAGCGACCAATCCCAAACGGTCCGAATAATTCCGTTGGTCCGGGATCGATCAACCCAAATTTACACTGATGTGCTGGATTCCTCGGGCAAACCACTCGTAAGTTTTCCATCAGCTTCATCAATCAAAAGACCATTATCATGTTGCACCCATTTCATTGCTTCCATTAAAATCAATGTAACCAAAGCGGGGCTGGAAGGAAAAATAGTCTGGTTCCTTTTTGCACTAGGATCACCTAGAATTTAAAAATGAATTGGGTATATACCTCTCGATTCATGTCCTAAATACCCAAATCTTGCAAACCTCTGTAACTAAATGAAATTTGTGTTTTCTTGCCCAGATTGTCGAGGCCACCCTGAATGGTAGAAGGCCTGTGACTGCAATCTTGCCTACTCCAGTGACTAGAATCGAAGAACTTCGACTGGAGATTTTGTCAATTGACACAGAGGACTCCGGAAGTTTGCGTGTTGATTTCCTGGGTTGCATGGAAGGTACGTCTTGATACTCAAGCTCAGATCGATTCTCCATTGGCATTTTTTTCTGTAACCGCAAAGGCTTTTAAATGAAATTTTCTAGCTAGGATATTTAAAAGACAATTGAATAATATCATTTTCTAATCCGTTCCTCTTCTTGTCTTTTACAGAAATAACGACCACAACTCCGGCTGCAACGACGACTAAAGGTAAACATCCTTCGTTTTCCGGCAAAACAAATATTACACGAAAAAGAGTAGTGCATGTCAAGATTTTTAGATGGCATTCGCTGTACAGATCAACAGTCACTGGCGCGAAATTGTACCCTGAAAACACTCACAATGTTGTATTTTTCTCTCCTTAAACAGTTGTGACAACAACTACCCAGACCTCTACATCCACCACAGCAGGTATGCGTTGTTGTTGTGTGTTGTTGTTGTTGTTGGTTGTTGGGGTTTTTTTCGGGGGGGGGGAATTTGCATTTTTCCGATACTTTTGGTGAGATAGCTTTTGCATTCTCTATTCAAAGTACTTGATTGACCGCGGTTTATTTCCCACTCCAACTAATTTCAATTCCAGCAACATTCTGATATTCTAAATGTCTTTCTTTCAAGGATACTGTATGGAGCCAATGGACGGCGAGCAAGGACTTGAGAGTATCCGTTCTTCAACTCCAGCGTCTGAAGATCAGTCAACTGATATCAACGCTGATAAACCTTGGACATTCGAGCTACAGTCCAATCCTGAGGACAACCGCGACCAAAACCCCAAACTGGACGTCAAGTTTAACACCGAAGTCCAAGTGCACGCCTTGAAGCTCCAGGGAGACAGCGACCAATCCCAAACGGTCCGAATAATTCCGTTGGTCCGGGATCGATCAACCCAAATTTACACTGATGTGCTGGATTCCTCGGGCAAACCACTCGTAAGTTCTTCCATAAGCTTCATCAATCAAAAGACCATTATCATGTTGCACCCATTTCATTGCTTCCATTCAAATCAATGTAACCAAAGCGGGGCTGGAAGGAAAATAGTCTGGTTCCTTTTTGCACTAGGATCACCTAGAATTTAAAAATAAATTGGGTATATACCTCTCGATTCATGTCCTAAATACCCAAATCTTGCAAACCTCTGTAACTAAATGAAATTTGTGTTTCTTGCCCAGATTGTCGAGGCCACCCTGAATGGTAGAAGGCCTGTGACTGCAATCTTGCCTACTCCAGTGACTAGAATCGAAGAACTTCGACTGGAGATTTTGTCAATTGACACAGAGGACTCCGGAAGTTTGCGTGTTGATTTCCTGGGTTGCATGGAAGGTACGTCTTGATACTCAAGCTCAGATCGATTCTCCATTGGCATTTTTTTCTGTAACCGCAAAGGCTTTTAAATGAAATTTTCTAGCTAGGATATTTAAAAGACAATTGAATAATATCATTTTCTAATCCGTTCCTCTTCTTGTCTTTTACAGAAATAACGACCACAACTCCGGCTGCAACGACGACTAAAGGTAAACATCCTTCGTTTTCCGGCAAAACAAATATTGCACGAAAAAGAGTAGTGCATGTCAAGATTTTTAGATGGCATTCTCTGTACAGATCAACAGTCACTGGCGCGAAATTGTACCCTGAAAACCTCACAATATTGTATTTTTCTCTCCTTAAACAGTTGTGACAACAACTACCCAGACCTCTACATCCACCACAGCAGGTATGCGTTGTTGTTGTTGTTGTTGTTGTTGGGGTTTTTTTCGGGGGGGGGGGAGTAATTTGCATTTTCCCGATACTTTTGGTGAGATGGCTTTTGCATTCTCTATTCAAAGTACTTGATTGACCGCGGTTTATTTCCCAACTCCAACTAATTTCAATTCCAGCAACATTCTGATATTCTAAATGTCTTTCTTTCAAGGATACTGTATGGAGGCAATGGACGGCGAGCAAGGACTTGAGAGTATCCGTTCTTCAACTCCAGCGTCTGAAGATCAGTCAACTGATATCAACGCTGATAAACCTTGGACATTCGAGCTACAGTCCAATCCTGAGGACAACCGCGACCAAAACCCAAACTGGACGTCAAGTTTAACACCGAAGTCCAAGTGCACGCCTTGAAGCTCCAGGGAGACAGCGACCAATCCCAAACGGTCCGAATAATTCCGTTGGTCCGGGATCGATCAACCCAAATTTACACTGATGTGCTGGATTCCTCGGGCAAACCACTCGTAAGTTCTTCCATAAGCTTCATCAATCAAAAGACCATTATCATGTTGCACCCATTTCATTGCTTCCATTCAAATCAATGTAACCAAAGCGGGGCTGGAAGGAAAAATAGTCTGGTTCCTTTTTGCACTAGGATCACCTAGAATTTAAAAAAAATTGGGTATATACCTCTCGATTCATGTCCTAAATACCCAAATCTTGCAAACCTCTGTAACTAAATGAAATTTGTGTTTTCTTGCCCAGATTGTCGAGGCCACCCTGAATGGTAGAAGGCCTGTGACTGCAATCTTGCCTACTCCAGTGACTAGAATCGAAGAACTTCGACTGGAGATTTTGTCAATTGACACAGAGGACTCCGGAAGTTTGCGTGTTGATTTCCTGGGTTGCATGGAAGGTACGTCTTGATACTCAAGCTCAGATCGATTCTCCATTGGCATTTTTTTCTGTAACCGCAAAGGCTTTTAAATGAAATTTTCTAGCTAGGATATTTAAAAGACAATTGAATAATATCATTTTCTAATCCGTTCCTCTTCTTGTCTTTTACAGAAATAACGACCACAACTCCGGCTGCAACGACGACTAAAGGTAAACATCCTTCGTTTCCGGCAAAACAAATATTGCACGAAAAAGAGTAGTGCATGTCAAGATTTTTAGATGGCATTCTCTGTACAGATCAACAGTCACTGGCGCGAAATTGTACCCTGAAAACACTCACAATATTGTATTTTTCTCTCCTTAAACAGTTGTGACAAAACAACTACCCAGACCTCTACATCCACCACAGCAGGTATGCGTTGTTGTTGTGTTGTTGTTGTTGGGTTTTTTTCGGGGGGGGGGGGAGTTTGCATTTTCCCGATACTTTGGTGAGATGGCTTTTGCATTCTCTATTCAAAGTACTTGATTGACCGCGGTTTATTTCCCAACTCCAACTAATTTCAATTCCAGCAACATTCTGATATTCTAAATGTCTTTCTTTCAAGGATACTGTATGGAGGCAATGGACGGCGAGCAAGGACTTGAGAGTAGCCGTTCTACAACTCCAGCGTTGAAGATCAGTCAACTGATATCAACGCTGATAAACCTTGGACATTCGAGCTACAGTCCAATCCTGAGGACAACCGCGACCAAAACCCCAAACTGGACGTCAAGTTTAACACCGAAGTCCAAGTGCACGCCTTGAAGCTCCAGGGAGACAGCGACCAATCCCAAACGGTCCGAATAATTTCGTTGGTCCGGGATCGATCAACCCAAATTTACACTGATGTGCTGGATTCCTCGGGCAAACCACTCGTAAGTTTTTCCATAAGCTTCATCAATCAAAAGACCATTATCATGTTGCACCCATTTCATTGCTTCCATTAAAATCAACGTAACCAAAGCGGGGCTGGAAGGAAAAAATAGTCTGGTTCCTTTTTGCACTACGATAACCTAGAATTTAAAAAAAAATTGGGTATATACCTCTCGATTCATGTCCTAAATACCCAAATCTTGCAAACCTCTGTAACTAAATGAAATTTGTGTTTTCTTGCCCAGATTGTCGAGGCCACCCTGAATGGTAGAAGGCCTGTGACTGCAATCTTGCCTACTCCAGTGACTAGAATCGAAGAACTTCGACTGGAGATTCTGTCAATTGACACAGAGGACTCGGAAGTTTGCGTGTTGATTTCCTGGGTTGCATGGAAGGTACGTCTTGATACTCAAGCTCAGATCGATTCTCCATTGGCATTTTTTCTGTAACCGCAAAGGGTTCTAAATGAAATTTTTAAAAGACAATTGAATAATATCATTTCTAATCCGTTCTTCTTCTTGTCTTTTACAGAAATAACGACCACAACTCCGGCTGCAACGACGACTAAGGTAAACATCTTTCATTTTCCGGCAAAACAAATATTGCACGAAAAAGAGTAGTGCATGTCAAGATTTTTAGATGGCATTCTCTTAAACAGATCAACAGTCACTGGCGCGAAATTGTACCCTGAATTACTCACAATGTTGTTTTTTCTCTCCTTAAACAGTTGTGACAACAACTACCCAGACCTCTACATCCTCACAGCAGGTATGCGTTGTTGTTGTTGTGTTGTGTGTTGTTGGGTTCTTTTTCGGTTGGGGGTATTTGCATTTTCCAGATACTTTTGGAGAGATGGCTTTTGCATTCTCTGTTCAAAGTACTTGATTGACCGCGGTTTATTTCCAAACTCCAACTCATTTCAATTCCAACAACATTCTGATATTCTGAATGTCTTTCTTTCAAGGATACTGTATGGAGCCAATGGACGGCGAGCAAGGACTTGAGAGTAGCCGTTCTACAACTCCAGCGTCTGAAGCTCAGTCAACTGATATCAACGCTGATAAACCTTGGACATTCGAGCTACAGTCCAATCCTGAGGACAACCGCGACCAAAACCCCTAAACTGGACGTCAAGTTTAACACCGAAGTCCTAGTGCACGCCTTGAAGCTCCAGGGAGACAGCGACCAATCCCAACGGTCCGAATAATTCCGTTGGTCCGGGATCGATCAACCCAAATTTACACTGATGTGCTGGATTTCTCGGGCAAACCACTCGTAAGTTTTCCATAAGCTTCATCAATCAAAAGATCATTATCATGTTGCACCCATTTCATTGCTTCCATTAAAATCAATGTAACCAAAGCGGGGCTGGAAGGAAAAATAGTCTGGTTCCTTTTTGCACTACGATAACCTAGAATTTAAAAAAAAATTGGGTATATACCTCTCGATTCATGTCCTAAATACCCAAATCTTGCAAACCTCTGTAACTAAATGAAATTTGTGTTTTCTTGCCCAGATTGTCGAGGCCACCCTGAATGGTAGAAGGCCTGTGACTGCAATCTTGCCTACTCCAGTGACTAGAATCGAAGAACTTCGACTGGAGATTCTGTCATTTGACACAGAGGACTCCGGAAGTTTGCGTGTTGATTTCCTGGGTTGCATGGAAGGTACGTCTTGATACTCAACCTCAGATCGATTCTCCATCGGCATTTTTTCTGTAACCGCAAAGGCGTCTCAATGAAATATTCTAGCGAGCATATTTTAAAGACAATTGAATAATATCATTTTCTAATCCGTTCCTCTTCTTGTCTTTTACAGAAATAACGACCACAACTCCGGCTGCAACGACGACTAAAGGTAAACATCCTTCGTTTTCCGGCAAAACAAAATATTGCACGAAAAGAGTAGTGCATGTCAAGATTTTTAGATGGCATTCTCTGTACAGATCAACAGTCACTGGCGCGAAATTGTACCCTGAAAACACCACAATGTTGTATTTTTCTCTCCTTAAACAGTTGTGACAACAACTACCCAGACCTCTACATCCACCACAGCAGGTATGCGTGGTTGTTGTTGTTGTTGGGGTTTTTTTCGGGTGGGGGGTAATTTGCATTTTCCCGATACTTTTGGTGAGATGGCTTTTGCATTCTCTATTCAAAGTACTTGATTGACCGCGGTTATTTCCCAACTCCAACTAATTTCAATTCCAAAACCATTCTGATATTCTGAATGTCTTTCTTTCAAGGATACTGTATGGAGGCAATGGACGGCGAGCAAGGACTTGAGAGTAGCCGTTCTACAACTCCAGCGTCTGAAGATCAGTCAACTGATATCAACGCTGACAAACCTTGGACATTCGAGCTACAGTCCAATCCTGAGGACAACCGCGACCAAAACCCCAAATTGAACGTCCAATTCAACACAAAGGTTGAAGTACATGCTTGAAGCTGCAGGGAAATACAAATGAAAGTCCAGAAGTTAGAATCATCCTGACGGTATTTGTAGCAACACTCAATCTTTCAGTGATGTACTGGACTCCTCTGGCAAGCCATTGGTTAGTGCAGCA